TTTGCACTATTTCGTAGTATCCTCCCCACCAACGACGATTTAACACATCTATAAACAGTGACAGACAAACAGAAACTATTCAGAACGAAAAATGACACTGAAGATGGCCCAACGCCGAAACCGGTTTGTCTCCAAACCAAATTTGACAAGGGATGACGGAAAATCGTTCCACATTACATCACATATTTTGCTGGCTGGGTATAGTTTTTGATTTTTTATTACACATTCATACATATCGTCGTTTAAAGTACAAAACCGCGTATGGTGATTCTGCAAAACCGCGTAACTGACATTGGCTGCCAAAAATTGGATTTTCTTACACAAGCTCTTGGCTTAATCCTTATCCATTCGTCCTGAAATATACTAGGCAGATATGCGATTGCTTTATAAAAAAGAGAACCATTTTGAAATATGAGTGTTTTTACACTCTAGAAAATAATTTCTACAACTTCACATATACGGTTTTGCATTTTGCTGATCCGCGGTTTTGCACTTTGAACGACGATATGTATGTACATGTGAACACTAGTGTGCGCCTAATTTGTATGGATACAAGTTTTTTTTTTTAAAGCTACACAGCAAGACTCTAGACAGGTTCGTTTAGTCATGAAAATATGTTCTGTGAAAATTTTTTAAAATGGGATTACAGAAAGAATGTTTGGCGATTTTATAGAATTTGAAATAAAATTAAAAGTAGCCTATAAATCAGTAAAAACAAACTATATTATTTCTTTCAAAGTTACTTAATGTAATTTTTCGCGCTGATTTTGAATTTGGCTAAAACATTTTCATATCACCTCAAGTTTTAAAGCCATAAATGCCATTTCTGCTAAATGTATTTTGAGAAGTTAATTTTGTTTTTAATTAAGAATGATATCAAAATTGTGTGCCCATATTTAGATTCAACAGCCAAAAATTAACAGGGAAATTCTGGCAACTGTCTGTCAACTCACCACAGTCTTTCGTAAGACATTGTCAATTTTGGCAACTATCTTGAAAGCGCTTTACAGTCTTTCGAAAGACTCGTTGCTGTTTAGGAATAACTTTTTTTAAATTAAATTAAAATTAAAAATTATGCATATATATTTTTCTTTTTAAGCCAATATAAACTAATAAATAAAATAAAAAAATAAAAAAAATAAAAAAATAAAGTTAAAGCAAAAATTATTAAAGATATTTTTAGAAATTAAATAAAATTAAAAATTTTCTTTTTCTCTTTAACAGAATAAAATCTAAAAATTAGAAAAAGAAAAAAAGTTTATCAAAAAAAAAACAAGAAAATAGTATTCAAAAATTAAAAATAAAATAAAAAAGTGTTTTTATTTTTAAAACAAAGTCTTAAAAATAAAAAATAAAAATAAATTAAAAAGAGCAAGAAAAAAATTCAATAAAATAACACCCTAAAAATTAAATGAAATAAAATATAAAACATTTTAAACAAGTAAAATATAAAAAATTAAAGCATATGAAATTAACACAAGAAAAACAAATTAAATTAAAAAAGGAAGAAATGAATAAAATAAAATTCTTAAAACTTAAGTACATTAAAAAAAGATTTTCTTTTTTAAAAAAATAAAACAAATATCTTTTTCCTTGTAAAACAATAAAATAAAAAAATTTTAAGAAAATGAAATTAATGAAAGAAAAACAAATTAAATTAAAAAGAGAAGAAACAAGTTAAATTGAATCAAATATAAAAAATAATATTTCTTTCTTTTTTAACAATAAAATTAACAAACTAAGAAGAAAATTAAGCTAAAAAAATTTATTAAAAGAAAAAAATAAGTTCCTAAAAAAATGCAATAAAAGAAATAAGTTTTTCCTTTTAAAATATCAAAATTAAAAGAAAATTAAAAAAAAAATTAATTAAAAAACAAATTTAATTAAACAAAAGGAAAAAGATCCGCTGTCCAAGACCCGAAATTAGATCTTTAGAATGACACGCCTATGCGGCCATTGCGACTGTTGTAGCGACGCGAATTAAATGATATACAAGTGCTTTCTCTCAAAATAACTTTTTCACCACGAGTGGTGAATGAGAGAGCCTTTTTTCTAAGACTTTTGTGCTAGAATAGCAAAACACTTTCGAACTATCTTGCCATCTTAGTTGCCTTACGAAAGATATTTTTTATCATCTTAGCCAAACTTGCCCTGTAAGTGAAGGTAAAACATGTTAAACTACGCTCTGACTTATAGGCAACTTTGTGAAAAGTTTCTTGATTTTAAGCAACTTTCGAACGTCTGAGCCTCTGCTTTATCCGATTTTGAAAATTTTTCGCAGAGCACTTTTTTTATTACTAAACGATCTTTTCTATGGTGAGGCGGTCTTGCTTTTTAGGTCAAAGTTAAGGCGCACACTAATGTACCTGCTACATACATTTATTTTACAGTTTATTGATACATTTATTTCATGGTGGTATTTTGAAGTCAGCACAACTACATAGTCCATTCACCGATTGAGTGAAAATTATGCAATTGAAGCTTGTAAATCAATCAAACGTCAACACGCTGCTGTCATCCGGAATGCAAATTTTGCATAAATAAACAAGGATAGATGAAATGCGAAATGAACTCAATTAGTAAGCTATGTGGATATGTTTTTATACTGGCAAGAATTATTTTGTAAATCACATATCGAAGCAGTTGTCAGATAGTTTAACGCGTGTGATATGATTAGGTTTGTAGGCTGAGGGAATCTGCTTGGTGGCATTAAAAAGGAAAACATTTTCATAAGCTGTTATTTACTTTCACGTGTATCGGTGTCTGTAATGAAATCCTGCAAAAAAATTTTTAACCAGCGATGATAATACATTATGAAGGATGAATTAGTCCGCTAGATGACGCGGGGGTCGATATACTTTGAAAACCTACATCTATGGTCTGTTTTAGTATATATTTAGTATATCCCCCAATTCTGTGCACTTGACAAATAATCAACCTTGACTATGTGTCAATAAATTTTCGCCTAAAACTATGCAGGTAAGAATTGTCGCTAGTTGCTAAATTTGTTGTGCATTTTTAAAGCTCTTAAAGGTAAATTTTTGCAGCATAGTTTCGAGCGTAAGTTTATTGATAAATATGTAGTGAAACTTGACAATTCGTCAAGTGCACAGAATTGGGGTGTATGTGTACATATGTATATCACCTACATGGAAAGGAATTTGTCGGAAAAAAAATTCCGACAGGTGGCGCAGAAGGCGAGATATTTGGAAAACCCGCAATTCTGGTCTAATTTAGTATATACTTAGAACCATATTACTTACATACATGAACGGAAGTATATAAATTGCTTATATGAAAAGGAATACCTCCACAAAAAATGAAGCCATTACATGGCTCGGGGTCCGGTTTTGGTCATATTCAGAATATATTACCTACTTACATTGAAATCGATTGAAAAATTTGTTTGATAAGTCATAAAATGAAAGCCTTTCAAGAAATAACGGAGTTATTCGGGTCCATGTCCTAACATCTATTCGTTGTGTAAATCTGAAGCATCCATTTTCAAACACTAACACCCAAATTCATAAAAAATAAAGAAGACTTTAACTCCTTTATAATTCGAAAATTTTTATGAAAATATCACTATATAAAGCTCTTTAAATCCAGTGCATATATACATACATACATAAATATGTACATTCTGAAAAATTGTCACCAAAAGGCAAGCGAGGTTAATAACTTAAATACATATGTACATACATACATTAAAATATTACATTATCAGCTCTGAAAGTATTCAACTCGAATCCCGCTGGTGGTAGCAGAAAAAGTGGGAGGCCCCCACTGTGAAGGACCTGGCTTCTTTTGACGTTTCCAATTTGGCGCAGAAGATAAACGACTGGCGTTCTTTGTTGAACTCGGCCAAAATCGATTAGGCGGTTATAGCGTCAAATACATCAAAGCTGCTTAGCGTTTTGAGCGCAATTTCTTTTCCGTTAATTCTAAAATTAATTACCCTTTCATGAAATTGCGACGCAAATTATGTTGCTATCAGATATCAGCGACAAATTAGGCAAATGGTTGGTTTGCTATGGAGCCTGCTAAAAATTTAAACATAAATAATTTTACTCACAAATAGCGCAAGAACATTTAATATGTTGATCCATATACTACATTCCTATATATACGCAATGCTTAGATACCGATATACATACATATCGCTCATTTACTTCAATAGTGGCATAACTCAAAGGAGCCCAGCTCGAGAAAAGTGGCTTAAAAGTTTTGAATTTATGCAAATACATACATATACTCTCATAGTAAAAGTGAATACATATTCCAGGTTATTAACAACAAGAGAAAATCAAAAACCAAAGGAAGTTAAAACTATTTTAAGCATTCACTTGATCTGTACAACAGTATAGCAAAAACACTTCTCCCTTTAGACGAAGTTTTCCTATTAAAAAAATCATACTTCACATTAGTGGGCTTAAAAAATATAAGTAACTGGTAAATATTTGATTTAAATTTCGATATGGATAAGATACTTGTATTATACAATCATTTTGAAAATAATGTCCTTTATTTTACGTTGGTTAATATGATCACCGTACTCATACACCATGTACAAATTAAAGAGCTATGCAGCGCGACCTAGACGGGTCCATGGTATCCTCAACTCATTACAGCACATAGATATTTTATTCCTAAAGACATCTGGGCTCGAATCGTAACATCCGTTCACGGATCGAAAACGATACGAAAGAAAATTACGTGATACGTCAGGCAGTATAAGCTGAATGGGGCAAAGAGTACGTTCACGTAAGTCATAATCCGAAAAATGTGTTTCTACGTGACGAGTGGTACGCTATCGTATGTGACGATTCGAGCCCAGGAAAGCCTTTGGCGGTAAGGTGTGTATGTGCTCTCTCTGACCACATTGAGTTTATGCGGTTCATTCGTCGCCTACAAACGCCGTCACATTATTTTGTTCATCGCCAATGTTGTTCCATCATACCTTTTGTTCCCTTTCTAAGCTCTTCCCTAATTGTATTTAGGCCTATTGCAAGGAATGGATCAGGACCTATTGGATCTCAGGCCGCCAATGTTCTAGCTAGTCCGTCTTATATCTCTTTCGCTTTTCATAAAGAAGGCCAACCAAGGCCAATGTTTAGAGCCTGAGCTCACGGCATGGCTCCCGAGCTGGCGGTGTATTGGCAAAGCTGTTCAAAGCCGGTGACGAATAGGTGCTAAGATGCCAAATGGTCTGATAAGTATATACCCGAATTTTGGCACTTAGGTTTGCTTTACTAGTCCGTTATACGATGAACCTCTAATGCCGTTATTATACATACGAGAGCGATTCTTGTCATTTTATCCTTTATTCTCTTGCCAAAGTTTAAAGCTTAGCTTCTCCTCTGACCACCACTTTCATAAAAAGGCTTTTGCGTTCTATGAAAAATCTGTCCTTCAGTTTAGAAAGGCACACAACTGTTTTTAAGACATTGGAAACGGAGCAGACGACGTTTATGAAATTGAGAGGACATTAGTTCAGTAGCGGCGACCAACAAAAGCTTAGTTTAAATGTAACTAATGACTTCCTTCCTTACGGGTATTTAAATTGAAAAAAATCACAAAAATGCCTGGAACTTATTTAGCTTGCGCTTTAGGGAATTTCCGTAACCTTTAACCTCAATCTGCCTGTTTAATTATCCGACCAAAAGAAAGTGGGAAAAGGACATTCCAACCATACAACCATGCGCCCGGGAGTTTTAGGTATATTCTTGAGCAAGCAACTTAATATTGTAAAGCCCATAAGTTATAATGAATGAACCCAAAATTTTGTAATTGTATCGCTACCTAAGGTGAAAAAGTGGCAAGTCCACTTCTTTATTAAATTTAGTTTTTGATGCAGAATGACAAATAATGCGGAACTACATATATTTTTCGTCTCTCCCGAACAATTAAAAAAAAAATAGACTTGTCACCATTTCACCCCTAGGTAACGAAAAATTTAGTTCTCAAAAAATGTGTTTGGAGTGTAGATAATTTTTAAAAGCTAACTATTTGAGAAAGCGACCCTACGTTTTTTTATCAAATAGCTACTGATATACTTACTTTTGTTAAGGGTTTCATTTATTTTATATGTACGTAAACACTTTTATTATTGTTTATATTTAGCGTGTTTAATTGCGTTTGCTCTACTAATATTCACCGCTAACGTCATCTTTTGCCATGGCACAAATTTTTATGTTAATTGATTTCCTTCAGTCAAAACATAAACATACACAGTAGACAGATGCAAAAACATAAATAGAGATGTGGTATTCTAACGAGTTTCGGCTATTTTAAAAAATTTTTAATTCGTACTTACACGGTTTTTTTTAGATAACGAGCTATACTTTTATAAAAAAATAATAAAAAATATCAAATAAAGAAGAGAAAAATAGCCAAAACTTGTTAAAATGTCGCGACCCTATTTATGTTTTCGCCACCGTATGTAGACATTGCAGAAAATGGAGTAAAGGTAACATACAGTGAAAGTTTGCGTGTAATTTGCTTAATTTGAACGTTCTGCTTTTGTTTTATATTGTCTACATAAACGCAGTGGTCAATGTCCTTACTATGACTAGCTAAATGCTTGCAAGGTTTTCTGTAATTGTTGCTTACTTCCATATCCAATGGAAAACTTTGCTATTGCAATCAGTAATTCACGCCTAGGGTACATCAAATAGAGGATTTATTATTGAGTACAATGTCTTATATCCATGCACACATATTTATGTATGTACACTGAGGGAAAAAATATTAAAGCCAAATAGAAATGTAATTGATCTTATTATAAACGTCAACGAAAGTTCTGTATATTGGTAAATATTCAATTCAAACTAAAGTGTGCGGCAGAAACGTATGTACAGACAACAGTATGTGAAACGGATACGTTTTCGGCTGTTTTTTCTGAAATTTGTCTGATTGAATTTTTCGTTCATTACGCTTTCCTTCTGCACTTCACAGATACTTTTTCATGGCTCAAAAGAAATAAAATAAAATTAGGAAACGCCTGACGGAATTCGAATCCGGCACCTTCTGGAAGCTAAGAAATAGCGGCACACTCCTCTGCACGCTTAGCCACTGCCGACTACGTATGCACGCTTTCAAATGTTTAATTGAGCAAATAAAATACAATAGGTACTCGTATTGAGAGGACAAAATTATCCAGCAGAAAAAAATTCGGAGAATTTAGCAGCATTCGCTCTCAAAGAGACAAAATATCCACGGAAGTACGAGAAGGCAAAATTTGCAAAAACTTTCAGCCTTCGAAACAGCTGATCACTTCCACAATTGCCACTGGTGGGTCTTTTGGCAATTTATTTTCTGTTTGGTACATTTTCTCCGATTTTTCATTTTATACAATTGCATACTTTTGGAATCGAAAAAACTTTTTAAAATACAAATTAATTATAATTTCTCAAGATTATTTGTGATACCACATCATGGCGCAACACCCATCCTTGATCAAAAAAATAAATAAATTAGTAGATATATACAAATGTACATTTATGTAGGTGCTACAAATGTACATTTAAAATTATAAAATTCTAATTTCAACAATCAACCTACCAAAACTGACAAATCGGCCAACAAAATTTCAGTTTGTTTCAGAATTTGGTATATCTAAAGGACAATTATGGTACAAACGAAAAATGACATACGGCAACCATAGTCAGCACACACTAAAGTAAACAAACTGGAGATTAATAGTAAATCAATTAAAAATAAACTCAACAAACCTTATGCCTAATAACTTTACCCTCTTTTTCGTTGTATACTAGCATTAATAATAAAATTTGCCATAAATAATTAAAAAAGGTCATATTTTCTTTTGTTTATTTACAAACATGTGTTTATGATCAGCTGATTTTCTTTTTTGCAAGTTTTCGCTGGCAAAAAATTCTTCCAGCAGCAATTTGCAGCTCTCTACCACATTTTGCTCTCTCAATTTCCCCTACTTTGCAAGTTTTTTGGGTACGAGAACGTTTTCTAAAACATTTGATAGTTTTGTGTACGAGTACACTCCTAACTATTGCTTTCAAATGGCACCATCTTTTTCGAACGTTTTCCGGATACGAAAATTGATGATAACTGTAGGAGTTTTTTCTATTCGTTTTCGGATATGGAAAATTGAACTAAACTGCACTGTGCACATATACATACTCAGATGTGAACAGTCAAATACGTGCGTAATAAATTTTTGTATGAAAATAGTATTTTTAAATACGAACATTTTTAAGCGATAATCAAATATTAAGTATTCATTTTTACTATGCATTGTTTCCCTCAGTGTATGTATAGGGGGAAATCTTTTGCGATAGCGACATAATGCGTACTGGCATTTTGTTGCAGCCACAAAGCAGCTGCACTACCAACTACTACTACTAAACCAAATTAGTATGGGACCACCCCTGAGGCCCCACATTTCCGATAGAAATTATCGAAATCGTTTAACGTGGCCAAAGTTATGCAGTAACATACATAAAAAAAAATATTCCGATGAATTGGTAACCTCCTCCGTTTTTTGAAGGCGGTTAAAAAGAGAAAAATTATTCAGGTAAATTATTATAAATTTTGTCATACAAATGTCACGTTATGTCAGATTGGAAATGCCCATATGTAAGTGCATGCATACAAACACTGAAAATTTAAAATTACGTATTCGCCATGGGGACCATGTTTATATACGTTTGTAGTACATACAATGTACATACATACATTAGACTGCATCACCAAAAAAAGTTGCGGTTTTCCCACCGGGATTACAAAACTTATTATATTTTAAGACTTCCACCAAAATTTTTCGGAAAAATATTAAGATTTACGTGAGCTAGACCGATTTGAAAAAAAAAACCTCCAAAAATGGAGTTTTTTGTGATTAAAAATAGTTTCTTAAAGGATTAAAAAAAAAATCCCCTCAGATGACAAAACCGTTTAAGCTTATGAAATCTACATAAAAATATTTAAAAAGAAAATGTTTCCACGGAATCATAATAATGAGATTTTTGATGCTGTTTTTTTTTACATTTTTCAAAGATTTGTTTAAGAAAAATTTGAATAATTGGGCCAAAACTACACCGTTATTGACTTGAGGTATTTGTGGAAAGGTATTTTCACACCCTTTTTATTTCTTTGCAAAAAACTCATTCACGTCACAATTTTTTCTTTATCAAATATCAACACACGTCTTATTTGAACACGGAACGACGCTCGTTTATCTAACCTTTGCCTTCCATGCTTTGAATGAGTCTATTTGCAAAGAAATATTTAAAAACCTAAATCGGTAAAGTCTTGGCTGAGTTATTCAAGTTTTTCTTAAACCAGTCTTTGAAGAAAGTTGAAAAACAGCATCAAAAATCTCATAATTATGATTCTGTTGAAACACTTTTTTTTATATGTTTATGCAAATTTTTTAAGCTTAAACTGTTTTGTCATCTGAGGTGATTTTTTGCAAAAAGTACTTAAAAAACTGTTTTTATTCATAAAAAATCTAAATTTTTGGAGGCATTTCCAAATCGGTCCACCTCACGGAAATCTTAATACGCGGTTTTGCACTTTAAACGACGATATATGTATGTATTAGCGATGTTGCGAATGTGGATTTTAAGAAATCCGCGGATGCGAATGAGGATGCGTATGTTTAAAAACTAACATCCGCGGATGCGAATGCGAATGCAGATGTCAAATACGGTGAAAGCTCCCATATGTGGACACCGATGGTCACCTTTTTTGCCCGTCTATGAAAGATGTCCGCTTATAGGAATTTCGTAAAAAATAAAATTAAAATTCATACTTAAAAAATTGAAATTGCGGGTTTCTAAATTAAAATAATTTTTATTCTTCAATAGCCAGAAACAGGGTGAATTAAAAATGAATTCTAATTTATGGTGTTTTTCTTTCCTACCGACAAATGTCATTGCCCTTTGACAACGAAAAGGCAACACTTTTTCTAGAAAAGAAAATATTTTTGAATATGGACTACAGCCTGTTTCCTAACTACTCGCTCGAGGCGACAAACTTGAAAACTTGAATCTTTACAAAATTGTAAATTCTTTTCGATTG